TAAAAATTAATTTTTTATTTTTAGAAAGCGTCTCACAAATTGCCCAAGCTAGTCTTGAACTTTTGATCTTCCTGTATCAGCCTCACAGATAGCCAGAATAACAGGTGTTTGCCTCCATGCCTGGCCATTTAAATAAAAAAGATTTATTTACTTTATGTGTATGAGTGTTTTGCCTACATGTATGTAATTGTGCCAAATGCATGCAATGCTGGAAAAGGGCACTGGCTCACTTGGAACTGGTGTTACAGGCAGTTGTCAGCTGCCATGTGGGTGCTGGGGACTAAATGGGGGTCCTGTGGAAGAGCAGTCAGTACTCTTAACTGCTGGGCTATCTCCCCAGCCCCCTTTCTTTTTTGTTGTGCCTTCTCATGCTTTCCAAACTCAGCCATCCCCCAGAATGGATCCAGATCAGCCTGATCAGTTATGTTGATACATTCTGGAATGAACATAACTAGAGCTAGGCCAATCAGATTCAACTTTATCTACTTTATTTTATTTTAATTTTGAGGGAGGATCTCATGTAGTCCAGGCTGGTCTCAAACTCTCTAAGGAGCTGATGATGACCTTGAACTTCTTTTTCTTTAAAAAAAAAAAATATTTTATAAGCTGGGTATGGTGGCACATGCTTTTAGTCTCAGCACTCGGGAGGCAAAGGCAGTCAGATTTCTGTGAGTTCAAGGCCACCCTGGTCTACATAGTGAGTTCCAGGCCAGCTGCGGCTACAGAGAGACCCTGTCTCAAAAGGACACCCCCCCAAAAGATTTTATTTGTATTTGTGTGTGTGTGCTGAGTCCCATGGAATCCAGAAGAAGGTATTGGATCCCCTGGAGCTGGAATTACAAGGAATTGTGAGCCATCTGACCTGAGTGCTGGAAACTGAACTCAGGTCCTCTGGCAGAGCAGCAAGCACTCTTAACCACTGAGCCATCTCTCCAGGACAACCTTGAACTTCTAATCTTGCCTCCACCTCCCAGTGCTGGGATTACAGGTGTGTCTACCTCATCTAGTTTATGTGGTGCTGAGGATTGAACCCTAGGATTTTGTGCATGCTAGGTAAGCACTATACCAACTAAGCTATACCCCTAGACACTTAAGTAGAAAGGCTGCATGTGAGCAGAGGATCCCAAGTCTCTGAGGGGGCCTCTTTTGGCTCCCTGGGCAGCAGCCAGTGGCACAGTATGGAAGAATTAATACTGTGCATTACGACTGGAAATGCAAATTTAGGTTCCAATACCAGCTGTCCACCCAAGGGGGAAAAAAAACAAAACAAAAAATAGAGCTCACATCTAAAGGTGTAAAGCAAGAGAGAATTGAATTCTGGAGATTGGTTACTCCTGGGATGAAACTGTTGAAAACTAAACAGGGATGAGGTAACAAGGAGATAAGTAATAGCAGGTAGCCATCAACTCCATTAGGCTAGAGACGACATCCAGAGCTCATGCCAAGTCACAGAAGCCCAAGAAACAGAATCCCCTAAAAATGAAGACAGGGAACCAGTGATTGCCAGAGATGCTGCTCAGGGTGGAAGAAAGCTGCTCCCAAGGCTGCCTCCCCTTGGATGAACCTAGCTAGAAACTAGGGAACAAGGATGCCTGGAACAGCAGTCTACATCGTACAGTAGAAGTCGAGTAGGAAAGGGCTGAGAAAAGAAACTTCAGGACACTGGCATGGAGGCAGGCCTGGCCAGCTAACTACTCCTATGCCACCATGTCCACATCTAAGATGCAACATGCCCAATTATTTTATGTACCATAAGAGAAAAACATTCCCAACCAAACTGACATAATGTAAGACGCCATTGCCATGCACTAGAGTTTTTGTTTTTGTCTTTTTTTTAACATTTAAAAAAATTTTATTATTTTTATTTATTTATTTTTTAATTTTAATTATTATTTTTATTTTATGTGTATGAGTATTATGCCTGCATGTAGGTAAGTGCACCCGTGTCATGCAATGCCCATGAAAAACAGAAGAGGCTGTCGGATGCCCTAGAACTGGAGTTACAGACAGTTGTTAACTGCCATGTGGGTGCTGGGATTTGAACCCGGGTCTTCTGCAAGATAAGTCAGTGTTCTTTACTGCTGAGCCATCTCTCCAGCCCCTATTATTTTTATTTTATGTATATGTGTGTATTGCCTGCATGTAGGTAAGTGCACCTGTGTTGTGCAATGACTGTGGAGGTCAGAAAAGACTGTTGGATCCCCTGGGATTGGAGTTACGGAAAATTGTTACCTGCCATGTGGGTGCTGGGATTCGAACCTGGGTCTTCTGCAAGAACTACCAGTGTTCTTAACCACTGAGCCATCTCTCCAGCCTGTTTTTATCTCTCTCTCTTTTTTTTTTTTTTTTTTTTTTGTCCTTTTGAGACAGGGTCTCCTTGTAGCCCCAGCTGTCCTGGAACTCACTATGTAGACCAGGCTGGCCTCAAACTCACAAAGATCCGCCTGCCTCTGCCTCCCAAGTGCTGGGATTAATGGCGTGTGCCACCACGCCCGGCCCTGTTTTTATCTTTTTAAGACAGGGTCTCCCTGTAACCCTAGCTGGCTATGGAAACTAAGCTGGCCTCAATCTCACAGAGATCCTCTTGCCTCTGCCTTCCAAGTGCTAGGATTACAGACATGTGCTGCCATGCTTGGCTGTCATGCATTTTGATGTTGTATTTTAATGTGTGTACATAATTGTCTCTGTGTGTGTGTGCCGGTGTGTGTGTGTGTGTGTGTGTGTGCGCGCGCGCGCGTGCACCTACCTTGGGCGTTATCCTCAGGAGTTGTCCACTTCCATTGAGCCAGGATCTCTCATTAGCCTGGAGTTCATTAACTAGGATGAACCGGCTGGCCAGTGAGCCCCAAGGATCCTCTGATGTCTCCAGCTCCCCAGCACTAGGATTATAAACATGTACCACCATGCCTGGCTTTTATTTATTTATTATTTATTTATTTATTTTTGGTCTTTTTGAGACAGGGTCTCCCTGTAGCCCCAATTGGCCTGGAACTCACTATGTAGACCAGTCTGGTCTCAGGAGACCCTGTCTCAAAAAGATCAAAAAAAAAAAAAAGTATGTGTTCATTTATTATTGTGTGCATGGGCGTGTGTGACAGGGACTCATGTGTCATCACTGGAGTGTGGAGTAAGATGACAACTTTGTTGGTTCTCTCCCACATTTTCCTGGGTTTCTGAGCTCAAATTCAGCTTGTCAGACTTGCGTGATAGGTGCTCTTGATGCCAAGCCATCTTGCTGCCCCCCACTCCTAGCTTTTTACTTGGGTTCTAGGAACAGAACTCAGGTCCTTATGCTTTACCAGCAGACATCCCCTCAGTCCTGCATCTTGATGTTGAAATGTGGAAAATGTGCTTTCCTTTTCTTCTTTCAGTTTTTGACATAGGTCTTACTATGTAGCCTTGGCTGATCTCAGAGTCATAGCAATCCTTCTGCCTCAGCCTTCTGAGTGCTGGGACTACAGACAGGCAGGTGTCACCATGCCTGGCTAAAAGTGTGCATCTTAGAATAATAAAATATCCTATTTGCTGTGTAACTTTTTTCAGTCTATGAATTGAACCCAGAGCCTTGTGCATTCTAGGCAAGTATAGTACTGCTAAATTACAGTCCAGCCCCTTGCTGGATTTGTGAACTAAGTTAATTCCACCTGGAAATTAGGGAGTACCTACTTCACAGTATTTTGAGAAGATTAAATCAGCTAACATATTTAAGATTGTTAAATTTACTGATCTCTCTCTCTCTCTCTCTCTCTCTCTCTCTCTCTCTCTCTCTCTCTCTCTCTCTCTCTCTCTCTCTCTCTCTCTCTCTCTCTCTCTCTCTCTCTCTCTCTCTCTCTCTCCTTTCCCACTGCCTAACATAATACCTGGTACAAAGTAGAGGCATAAGAAAATTTCATGGAATGAATTCACCTGGGTGCAAACAAGCACACCTCCTAGCACATTATGGGAGATGTATGTCAGTAAATGGAAACTGTAATACTGGAATCAAAATTCTTGAGTGGTGGAAGGAACTCCTTTATTTAAAAATGTTATCAGAGGGACTGGAGATAAGCTCACTTGCTCTGGGTTCAGTTCTTGGCACAAAAAGTAAGTTGTGAGTGGAGGCCGTGGTGGATGAATCTCTGGTGGAAAAGATTGCTCCAGATGGGTTAGCTCACACACAAGTAAGCAGTAAACAGAAAACTAAAAGAGAGTAATAGTGGCTGTGCACCACCTTGCCACTTAAGAAGGTGAGTTTCGTGGGTGTGAGTGAAGGATAAAGCAAAATAGACATGAACCATCTTTTCCATCTACAGAGCAGTTTTGTGTTATCACCCTCTCCTATCTCTAAAAGTGCTGTAATGTTATTGTTCCCGTTTCACAAGTGGGACTCGGACTGAATATGCAGATGAAGGGATTTTCCCAAAACAAAGGAAGCAAAATTAAGACGCGTCGTGGAGTGTAACTAAGTAAGGCTGCTTTAACCATCTGAAAGAAAGCCCGAGTTAGGATAGGTAAATTTCAATATCGAGCATATATAAGGTTAGATAGGCACAGATAAGAAAATGAAAACAGTTGCTAGCCTGGTGAGGGGTGGGCGATGAAATAAGTTTAATAGTGATAGAATCTTTGCAAGAATAATTCTTCCTATTTAGGAATAGTGATGAAAGCAAATGCCTCATTCAGCTGCAACCGTCCCGCAAGGGGGTGACTTATCTATCCACCAGGCAGAGTGGTTAGTCGGGACTTCAGGATGTACCCGAGACACTGGGGCAAGACTACCCACATTATTAATAGGGAGTCACTTGTGATTCAGCTGTGTCCGGTCCGCCCCTCACTGCGCGTACGCATCTGTCTAGCACCATTAGCTCATCCTCGCTAGCGAGTAGCGAGCGCCCCCTGCCGGCCATGCCCTCCAGGGCGCGGCCAGTTCCCGGATACAGGGCGCATGCGGCTTTCATCTTCGTCCTGCCCCCGTAGCCTTCAGACTTCTCGCGACATCCGCCCAGCGGCTGCCGGAATCTCGCGATAAATGCCCATTGTCTCGCGCGAGCGTGCTCAGTGGACTGGCTCTCGGACTGCTGGGGCTGGCGAAGAGGAGTTGCATGTGTCGCTTCATTTGGCGGGAGCGGAGGCGGCGGGGGTTGTGCGGCCGGCTGGGTAACGAAACCACTCGCGGCTCTCCGGCCTCGGAGGGGCTCGTAGAGAGCCGGAGGCGGAGGTGCTGTCTTCAGACGAGGGCCTGGCCGAGAGCGCCCGCCCATATGGGGGCCTGGGTCCCGGCAGTGCCCCTTAGTCCCAGACCTAAGTGCTGCCCTTCTCCCGGACCTGCTGCTGTTTATCTCCTCGGCTCTGCGCCGCTTCCCTCTTCTCTGCCTCGGCTTTCCCCCCTTGGTAGTTTGCCGCCCTTTGCTTTCTGGCCCCTTCGGGTGGCTTGCCTGGTTTTCCTACGTTCCTGGTCCAGTCTTTACTGCAGCTTACGCCCCTCCGGAATCAACCTTTAACCTGTCCCGTCCTCAGCCACTGATCAGGATCATCCACCCCATACATTGCCCGCCTCCGTGGCTTCTTCTTTTTCTCTGATGCCCCTTTTGCCCCCCACCCCCCAGCCTTTATGTTGATAGTTTTCCTGTAAACCCGTGGTCTAGGTAGAGAAGCCTAGAATTGCAGCTTTGGGGTGGAGGGAGACGTGGTGATGAGACTGCTCATCTGGGATCAGGCTCCAGGGTAGTGAAGTGTTATTTTGCTTTCAGGTTTGTGAAATGGCTACTGACATTTCTGAATCCAGTGGGGCTGATTGCAGAGGAGATACGAGGATCAGTGCCAAGTTAGATGCTGATTACCCACTTCGGGTCCTGTATTGTGGAGGCAAGTGTTGGAAAGCAAAAAATAGTTTTTGCTCACTGTATACTTATGTCTATAGTGTGATAGTTTCAAGCTTGGTCTTTTTCCTTCATCCATCTTTGTGATTTGGTGAATCCTTAATTGAGGAGGGTGCCAAGGACACCTGGGTTTACAGAGTTCCCCAACCTGTATGATTTGTGTCTTGGTACCTGGCCTGGGGGAATTTGCAGTCCACTTGAAATAGAGACATGCAGAAAGATATTTTAGCCTGATGTTAGGTGTTCATCTGACTTTGTTAAAGGGGAGCTTCTTGGAAGATTGTCTTATGGGATGGTGAAGAATCGGGGAGAAAGTGAGGAAAGCATCCTAGAAGGACGTGAACTGTTAGAAAGGCTTATGCTGGAGATGGAGTTCAGTGGTAGAATGAATGCTTGCCTAGAACGTTCAAGGACCCTAGGTGCAGTCCCCAGTACTGGGGGAAAAATTTTTTAAAACTTGATGCTGAGGCGGGGCATGGTGGCACACACCTTTTATTCCAGCACTGGGGAGGCAGAGGCAGGTGGATCTCTGTGAGATTAAGGCCAGCCTGGTCTACCTAGTTGAGTTCCAGGTCAGCTGGGGCTACAGGGAGACCCTGTCTCAGTGCTGGGCTGGAATCTTGAGCAGCTCTTTGTTGTTATTACATTTTTATTTATATGTGTGTGTGTGCGTGTGCCTGTGCCAGGCCACAGGATGTGAGACCACTTTTCAGGAGTCAGGTCTTTCTACCACATGGATCCCAGGAATTGAACTTGGTCCTCAGACTTGGCAGCAGAATCTTCTATCCTCTGAGCCACCTTGCTGGGCTTGAGCAGCAATGAATTAGTACAGTACAGGGAAGGTGTTGGTTAAGGAGTAGAGAAGATGAAGTTAGAGGGATACATAGTAGGGCAGTATTGGGAAGGTCTTGTTTTGAATAACAAGCATATTAGGTTTTGTGTGAATATACTTGTGTGTGGATTGTGTAAGTCTGCATGCATGTGTGCCATCAGTGGCATCTTCTTCAATCCTGCTCCACCTTATCTTTTGAGAAAAAGTCCCTCACTGAACCTAGTGTGCTCATTGATTAGCTGGACTGGCTGGCCAACAAACCCTGGGGATCCTCATACTGGGATTACAGGCTTGTGCCATTGTCACAGCTTTTTGCATAAGTGCTGGAGTTGCTAAGGATTCCAGCTCAGGTCCTCTTGTGCAGGCAGTGCTTTACTGACTAAGCCTCAGCGTTAGAATATATATAGATGTATGTATTTTGTGTGTGTGTGTGTGCTCATGCTGGCATGCACACTTGTGCCAGGCCACAGAGGGTGTGAGATATATAGATTATATGTATTTTTTTTTACTTTTTAAAAAATTTATTGAGGATTTCATACATGTGTATAAGGTCTTTTGGTCAAATCCATACTCACTCCCCTCCAACTCCTCCCATATCGCCCCATCACATTTTTCCTGAACAATTTCTTTTTTTTTTTTGGTCTTTTTGAGACAGGGTCCCCCTGCAGCCCCAGCTGGCCTGGAACTATGTAGACCAGGCAGGCCTTGAACTCACTGAGATCTGCCTGCCTCTCCCTCCCAAGTGCTGTGACTACAGGCGTGTGCTGCCACACCCAGCATTTCCTGAACAATTTCGTAGACTGTATATATATATATTTTTTTATTTTTATTTATTTCCACTTTATGTGTATGAGTGTACTGCCTGCATGTATGTGAGTGCACCCGTGTCGTGCAGTGCCTCAGCAGTCAGAAGAGGGCTTCGGATTCCCCTGGAACTGGAGTTAATTTGTAGCCTCCATGTGGGTGCTGGGAATTGAACCCAGGTCCTCTGCAAGAGCAGTCAGTGCTCTTAACCGCTGAGCCATCTCTCCAGCCCCAGACCATATTTTTCTAATGAAGCAAAATTGGAGTTTACTTGAGCTGGGTATGGTGGCACACGTCTTTAATCCCAGCACTTGGGAGGCAGAGGCAGGTGGATCACTGAGTTCGAAGCCATCCTGATCTAAATAGCAAGTTCCAGGCCAGCTGGGGCTACAGGAAAACCCTGTCTCAAAAAGACCAAAAAAAAAAAAAAAAAAAAAAATTGGAGTTTACTAAGAGGTTTTTGTTCTTTTTTTTTTTTTTTTTCACCACAGTCTTGGTTGCCAATGAAGGCATGGGACACAGGGTAGCAGTCTGTCTTCAGCCCCTGTCCCCCTGTTTTGTTTTAAGTTTGATTCATTTTATTATATAAAACCCTGTGCGGTAGTCATAGCTGGATCCCAGGTCCTCTGCATGAAGATTCTGGTTTGGGTGTTTACAAGATAGTCCGTGAAATAGGGAGATTTAGTGAACATGGTCTCTTTCCAGAGGTCCATAGTCAGGTAGCTCTAGGTCTTGGAAGTGACATGAAAGGTGACCTTGGTGAAGTTGGCAAGTGGCTGTTGTAGCCCCTGGTTGAAGTGTAGCAGTCATCAGTACCAGCTTCATAGAATTAGGAGCCAGACAATGCCAGTGCTCCTGGGGGTGGAGATGAGCTACACTACCACAGAGCTGGGCCTAACAGTCTGTCACTTTGTATGGGGTGTGCCATTCCTTCCAGTAGCCTTTCTGCACAGGGTCAAAGAAGACCTTGGGCAAGATGATGTCCCCTTAAATAGCAGTGGCTAACTCCTTGAAGCACTTACCTTCCGGACTCGTATGACTACTTTAGTCCCCAGTGGAAATAAATAACCTTGAACTTGGTCTACTGACCAGTGTGTATCTGCCTCAGCATGATCTTTGTTCAAAACCTGACCCTTATGGGTTGTCCCCAGGAAAGGGTCAATATTCTGACTCATTAAGGAGTAGGAAGAAAAGATAGATTTCTTTATCTTTATGTCCTTGACCAGGTGACCCAGCTTGGTAATAAGGATATACCCCCTGTCTTAGGCCTTGTCTCCACAAGCCCTGTGTCCTCAACCCTAACCCCTGCTATGGCCCCAGAGACTGCTGCCAAAGTCTGAGGAAGCAATAGCAGCCTCCCAAGTTTGGGTCTCAGAACCTCTGGGCCCTCTCTAACTGTATCAGTGTCATCTCTTATTTGGTGTTTTCCCAGGGAAGACAAGCAAGAAGCAGTTTCAGCATAGATTTAAGCACAGACGTAAGGGGATGGGGAGGTGCCTAGGAAAAGGACAGTATACACCCAAGACATGATTGCAGGCCTCTTAAAAGGGGCCAATGGATCAGTGGATTAAAGACATTTGCCAAAAGGCCTGACCACCTGAGTTTGACCTCTAAATTGGGTGTAAGGGAGCATATCTGTAATCCCAGCACTCAGGTAGTTTAGCAAGTTCCATGCCAGCTTGGGATAGAACCTATCTCAAAACTGTTTTGAATCGACTGGAGAGATGGCTCAGTGGTTAAGCTGTTAGCTGCTCTTGCAAAGGACCTGAGTTCCATTTCTACTGCCCACATTAGTGGTTCACAACCTCTGAAACTCCAGTTCTAGGAGATCTGATGCCTCTGGCCTCTGAAGGCACTATACTCAGGTACAGACACACACATGTACATGTAATTAAAAATAAATAGTATAGGGCATGGTGGTACAGGCATTTAATCCCAGTACTTGGGTAGTAGAGTGGATTTCTGGGAGATCAAGGCCAGCCTGGTCTACATATGGCATGAGTTCTGGTACTACAAGGAGACCTTGTTTCAAAAAACAAAATAGAAACCAAACCAACAAAAACTATCTTGAAAGGAAAGAGGGGAGAAGGAGAAGAAAGAAATTACATAGAGTTATTTTTTGTTATGATACTGGTCATGAGAGTCATGGGCCAGAGTGTGCTTTCTGACAGAAATGCTTCGTAGGTATATGGCCCTATGCAAGTTACTTGATTTCTGTAAGATTTAGGTCTATGTCTAATGTCTATAAAATGAGGAAGAAGATTACATCTTAAGTCAGATGACTTGTGTAAGCCATGTGCAATTCACCCAAGAATTTAGTGCACTAAATGCTAGCTATTAGAGATGTGTACTAGTTGGTATTGTTCTTTATCCTTGTCAGATGCAGTTAAGAACTATTGAGCCAGTGAAATGGCTCAGCAGGTAAAGGTGGTTGCTACCAAGCCCAAGGCCCTGAGTTTAAACCCCAGGTCCCACATGGTTGCAGGAGAGAACCAGTTTCCAGAAGTTGTCTTTTGGCCTCCATACAGGTACCATGTCACAAGCACCATGGCACATGTACAGATAGACAGATAGATGGGTAGGTAGGTAGGTAGATAATAGGTCAGTTGAAGAAGGTGTAGCTCAGGCCTGTAGTTCCAGTTCTTAGGAGATAGAGGCAGGAAGACTTGAAAGTTTGAGTCTAGCTTGGGATACAGAGTGAGAGCCCCCACCTTAGAAATAGGACTGGGTGTGCATGCCTTTAATCCCAACACTCGGGGATATAGGGCAGAAGCTACTGAAAGATGCAGCTCTACCTAATGAATACTTATCCAGGACAATGTAGGCATCCATTTGATAGAAAAGCACTTTTTATACTTATTTAAACAAACCCATAATAGAGGTGAGTTTAGACAGTGCCTTTTAGAGTCTAGCCTTACTGTTTTATAAAAATAGTGGCTTTATTAGCCAGTTTGGTGACAAAGTACAATAGCATATTAACAATGGTCTATATCACAGTGAACCAACACTACAAAAACTATAAACTATTTACTGAGTATGCCTGAATAAGGGTGCTGGGGCAGGGAGCATTGTAAAACAGCAAGAGCTTTTTCTGTTGTCTACACTGAGTAGATGTTTGTGGGTACAGAAAATTGGTAACTGAGGAGACGAGGACTACAGACCCAGACAGTTAGTCACAGTGGCAGTGTGGAAGGGGAGAGATGTCTTCCAGTTGCAGAAAGTCGAGAGACTTCCTAGAGGTAAGAATTGGGTAGGAATTTGAAGGGAAGGTGGTGTTGTATTCAAGCAGGCACTGAGGACAAATATGCCAGGCCAGAGAACAGAGAGTAGCAGGAAAGTAGAAGGGAATGTAGAGTTCATGTACAGTTGGGTTATTAATACGGGGTTTGTGAAGGAGTAGGAGGAAATTGTATGGTAATGGGGTTTGAGACCAGATTGTGGGGGACTTCATTTGTAGATCCTGTAGGTCACTAAAGGTTTTTGATCAAAGAAGTTATAAGAATGAATCTGTCAGTAGTAGTAGGACAAGTCAAATGAAACAAGTTTAGTGACCGGGCTATAATAAGATGTTAGACAAAATTAAGGAAGATTGAAAAGAACGATGCAGCCAACGTGGCGGTGTATATGTCTACTCTTAGCTACTCTGGAGACTGAAGCAGGATCATTAAGCCCAGGAGTTCAGACAGCCTGGGCAATGTATTGTGTGTCTCTTTTTCTCTTTCTTTTTAAATATTTTATTTATTTTTATTTTATGTGTATGAGTGTATTGCCTGCATGTATGTAAATGCACCCATGTCATGCAGTGCCTGCAGAGGTCAGAAGAGAGCATTCCCTGGAATTGGAGTTGGTTGTTAGCCACCATGTGGGTGCTGGGATTCAAACCTGGGTCAGTGCTCTTAACCACTGAGCCATTTCTCCAGTCCCAATCTCTTTTCTTTCTTTGAAGATTTATTTTATTTATTTATGTGTGTGTGTGCACGCCCTTGGAGGCCAGAAAAAGACCTCAGATCCCCTGGAGCTAGAGTTAAAGATGGTTGTGAGCTACTCACATGGATGCTGGAAACCAAACTCTAGTCTCTTGAAGAGCAGCAAGCTCTCTAAATTGCTGAGCCATCTCTCCATCCCCTGGGTTCATGACTCATGTCTCAGCTAGAGACTTAGTAGAGAACACCTTGAATCCATTTGGAAAACATGTCTTTGACTTCTACTCCATGGCAGTCCTTGTATTCCCCTTAGAGAAATGAGTAGGAGGATACTGTCTTCTGAAAGCTCCGAGCTTAAGGGAAGACAAACTTTTTTTTTTTTTTTTTGCAAAGAGACTAAGAACCTTTATGGCCTGAAATTACAACCATAATTTGGACAGGACTCCAATATTGCTGGGAATTCCAAGGCTGGAAGAGTTCACAATAGTCTCTACTTAACATGCCACATCAATGAGCCCCAGGTTTCCACAAAAACCTGAGAAATACTAGCTTCACTTTGGACAGGGGTCTGGTCTTTAAGGACATGAATTAGCCACCTGGGGTCAGGACAGCAAAAAGTGAGGAGTTCAAAGCATCACCTCATCAGCTTTGTGCAGACAGAACCAGAGAGCAGGAAAAAGCAGGTGAATACTCGGACAATACAGACAGCACCAACACCTTTATTACAGGAGCTGGGGTGACTCATTTGCCTTTCCGGGCTCTGATCTTCCTCAGGTAGAACTCCAGCTCCTTGCCCTCTAGCACGTAGCCATCCGCTCTACCACACTGGCCAGGTCGTGATGCAATGCAGGCAAGAAGCTTGCCCTGCTGGAACTGCTCCTCCAGAAGACTGCTGATTTTGGCATTCTTTTTCCTTTCGTCGTATTTCTTTTGAATTTTTTTGGATCGCTTTTTGTTTAAAATCTGGGAAGACAAACTTTTTATATGAATTATACTAAGTAAAAGTTTGATGTTACATCAACTGATCTTTAAATCAAAATGTCAGGATACTGTCATTTCAAATAATCTTGTTCATTTTACCTCTGCAAAGTAGTATTTGAAAAGTGGCAAAGAAAATTGGGAAGGCAGGCAAGGTGGTATAGCCTGTAATCCCAGTACTTAAGAGGCTGAGGCAGGAAGATTGTGAATGGTATATAATTCCTGACTAACCTTTAATATTCTTCATGTGTTTAGAGAGGGAAAACCCTCAAAAAGAATACTTGATTGAAAAGTAGGAATATTGTACATGGGTGTCTCCAAAAAAGAGAAAGAAATGGAAAACTAGAGGAAAAAGTATAAACAAAGTATTTTGTCAAATATTAAAGTAATGACTAGGCTTGTGTGCATTTATGGTTTTAACATTTCAAACCTTTCCCCCCCTTCTCCATTTCTCCAGTCTGTTCATTACCAACAGAGGTAAGTCCTAAATTTTTTTCTCTTTTTCTAGAGAACTTATTTTTAGAGACCTTTGAATCAGAATACTTAAAAAAATTTTTTTTTGCCAGGTTTGGTGGCACATGCTTTTAAGCACTCAGAAGGCAAAAATTGGCTGATCTCTGGGAATTCAGCCTGGGATGGCAGTTCTCTGGGAGGGTAGCCTGGTCTACATAGCAAGTTCCAGGCCAGCCAGGGCTACATAGTGAGACCTTTTCTATCTCAGAAGACCAAAAATAAAGCGAAAGTTTTATTTGTGTGTGTGTGTGTGTGTGTGTGTATGTGTATGTGTACGTTTCCATAGTGGGCTTGTGGAGGTCAGAGGACAATTTGTACACAGGTCATCCCCACTTGGTGGCAAGTGCCTTTACCCACAGAGCCATCTCACAGGCCCTGGAGCAGAATACTTTTGTTGTCTTAAATGCTTTAGTCTTTAAGCTGTACCTGTACTCCCTCCCTGCTTTTTTAAAAATAGTCTCAGTATATTGCCCAGACTGACCTTGAACTCATGTAGTTCTTCTGCCTCAGCTTCCTGAGTAGCTGAGACTGTAGATGAGTGCCACTTTGCCTAGCTAATGCATATACTTCCTTTATATTGTTGGATTTTTGTATAGAAGTCATGACTAGTCAGCTGTTAAAGCAAGAGTAACTTTATAGCCAAGACTTACATGTCTAAGCAGATGAAGGATGAGCCATAAAAACGTGTAAGACTTTGCTTAACTCAAGACACTTTGGCAAGTCTAGAAAATAATGAGGGCCCTTTTTGTCCAAAACAAGAAATACATTTTTTGTTGGGGGGGGGCTGTTTGAGACAGAGTCTCCCAGGGGCCTAGAACTCACTATCTAGACCAGGCTGGCTTCAATCTCACAGAGATCTGCTTAACTCTGCCTCCTGAGTGCTAGTTTTAAAGGTGTGCACCACCACACCTGGCTAAGAAACCTATTTTTGTTTGTTGCTTCCTTCCCTCCTTCCGTTCCTCCCTCCCTCCCTCTTTCTTAAGGTGGCCTCACTGTGTGTCCCCATGACTTTGATCTCAAGGTCCTCCTGCCCGATCTCTGAGTGCTGAGATAGTAGGCATGTGTAACTCTGCCTGACCATCTCTCTTCTTTTCTGATGACCTTTCCATGTGATGGAGAAGAAATAGCTTCTCAAAGGAACTGCTAATCCTTTTTTATTTCTCTTTTTTTTTAAAATTTATTTTTATTTTATGTGTATGAGTATATTGCCTGCATGTGTGTAAGTGCACCTGTGTAATGCAGTGCCTGAGGAGGTCAGAAGAGGGCATCAGATCCCCTGGAACTGGAGTTATGGATGGTTGTTAGCTGCCACGTGTGTGCTGGGACTTGAACCCAGGTCCTCTGTAAGAGCAGTCAGTGCTCTTAACAGCTGAGCCATCTCTCCAGTCCCCAGTTTCTCATTTCTTATGGGATTTCCTTCTTGAATATAAATTTCCTGTGAATAAATAAGGCAAGGCCTAGTGTGGTGGCCTGTGGGTATATTCCTAGCACAGTTTCAGAGGATTCGGAGACTTCCCTGAGTTACATAGTAATATGTTATTTGAAAGAGAAAGATAAGCCCTGGCACTGAGGAGGTAGAGGCAGGTGGCTCTCTGTGAGTTCGAGGCCAGCCTGTCTGGTCTACATAGCAAGTTCCAGGCCAGCTGGTCTACAGGGAGACCCTGTCTCAAAAAGACCAAAAAAAAAAAAAAAAAGGAAGGAGAGAAAAAGAAATCAGAGAAGAATGACTTTTACTAAATTGTATTGTTTGAAATTGTTTTGTTGTCACTTAATCTGTACTTTTTTTTTCCCCTTCCAGTACTGTGAATATATGCCTGATGTTGCTAAATGTAGACAATGGTTAGAGAAGAATTTTCCAAATGAGTTCGCAAAACTCACTGTAGGTATGCGCTTTTTCCTTTTTTTGAACATTGGTCTCTTTATTAAATTTGTATACCTGAAACAAATGCACATATGGTATTAGTTTAAAGGTAGGAAAATGGGCTGGAAATGGCTCAGTACCAAGAGCACTTGCTGCTCTTCTAGAGGACCAGAATTCGGTTCCCAGCACCTGTGTCAGACAGTTCACAGCCACCTGTAACTCCAGTTCCAGGGGATCTGACTCCCTCTACTAGTCTCTATGGGCATATGAATGCATGTGCACATATATACATATAACCAAACGTATACATAAATAGATAAATAATGAATTTCAAATAAAATAGGAAAGTTTAGCTGGGCTTGGTGGTGAAGGCCTACCATCCCAGTTACTTGGCAGGTTGGGGCAAGAGTAACACAAATTTAGGACCTGCCTGGATTATACAGTGAATTCAAGGCCAGCCTGGGCAACTTAATTTAACTCTGTCTCATAAAGTAAAAAGAGAGCTATAGATACAACTCTGTGCTTACGTAGCATGTACAGTGCCCTGTGTTCAGTTCCCAGTACTTTAAAAAGAAAGAAATGATGTGAAAGCCCTTCTTTAGCAGGATGTTATGACATTTCACAAGTCTCTCTTAACTTTAAAGCTATTCAAATTCTGAGACAAGATAGATGTTAGTATCAGCTGATGTAGGAGTAAAGGCTGTAGGAACAAATAAAGATTCACATTTACTGTGAGCATATATAGGCTATATACTGTTGTAAGTTTTGAGGATGAAGCATTAAAAAATTGTTGGGGGGCTGGAGAGATGGCTCAGTGGTTGGGAACACAGTGTTCTTACAGAGGACCCAGGTTCAAGTCCCAGCATCCACATGGCAGCTAACAACTGTCTGTAACTCCAATTCTAGGGGATCTGATGCCCTCTTCCAACCTCTACCAGCATTGCATGATAACAGTGTGCTTCCATACAGGCAGCAATACACACATACACATAAAATAAAAATAATAAAATTTTTTTTTATTTTTTTTATTTTTTTTATTGTTGGGAGAGTTGGGTACAGACCTCTCTCAGGTGACTGAGGCAGAATGATCACAAATTCAGGGCAGCCTGAGTAGCAGAGCAAATTCAAGCCCAGCCTGGATAACAGTGGAAGATCATACAGGGCAGTTTATTGAGTCCCTATCTCAGAATTTTAGAAAATCAATGGTTTCCCCTGAATAGCAGCAATGGATGGAGTTGATTAAGAAGTGGTCAGAGAGTGAAGATATTTTGCAGGTAGAGCTAAGCATGGTTGATATGTTGATGTGAGGTGTTAGGAAATGGGGCAGCTAAGGGTTAATTAGGTTCAAGCACTTGAAGAGTGGAATTGTTGGTGCTGGAGTGGTGCAGACTGAAGGAACAGATCTCTTAGCTCTTGTAGATGGTTTCCCATATGTCCCCTCTCTTTGCTACTCAACTTTCAGATTATTCATGAGGCAAACCCTGTATACCTGATAAGGCCTTTGGAGATAATAGCTACTTAGTCACTGTCTTCATTGGATAAGAATACTCAAGGCTGGTGTTATGATTAGCCTCAGAATTTTGAGGCCTTAGGATATCCTGCCTAGACCGTGATTGTGACTTAGAGAGAAAAGGGGAGCATGGGGAGGAGAAGCTTGTCTCATATAGAACCAGATGTTAACATCAGAATGTTAAGATTCTAAATTGATGACAAGATGAGTAGGATAGACTGATTATGTGACCATCCTCTTGTGTAGCTGGTAAAAATACAGCTTTGCAAACAAAACCTTTCAAGGAGCCAGAGATTGCTACCAATGTAAGGGAGGATGAATTTCAGCAGGCCAGTGGTAGTGGCCTGACCGCTCCGACTCCCATGGACTCCTTACGGATTCCAGTTAAGCAGAGGCTGGCATGACTGCATCTGTCGCTGGACCTTAACCTTTGTTGCTGCCCTGCTACAGAAGTGGCTGCCAGATCTCTCCACCATGCAGTGGTAAGGAAAAACAAAATACTGAAGAAAGCGAAAATGAGGCAGAAGAAAAGTAAAAATGAAGATAAAGTAATTTTAGGGTGTTCTTTTATAGAAATGTTTTAGCTTCGAGATTGTAAAGGGGAAATGAATATACATTTACTATATATAAAGCTGAGATACAAATTTACAGATAGGTTCCTGGTGTGAACAACTGATCTGAAATTAGTAGGTATCTATAAAGGACAGATCTTTCAGGAGAAATGTAAGGGCTGTTTTAAACAAACAGTTGTTTTACATGTGGCATAACAAACAATTCTGGCTTCTGGTTCTCTTTAGAAGTCTCAGTCCTTAACTGGTGGCTCAGGGCCTATGGTGAGGCAGGACATCATGGAGGAGTCACTTCATGACTGAGAAATGAAAAATAGGAAGAAAGGACTAGGTCCCATTGTCTCCTAGGTCAGGTTCCCAGTGACTGTCTTCTTGTAGTCTGCACCCCTTCTGACTTGAAGATCTCCCACTGTACCTCACCTCTTAGAGCATTATCACCTTGGAAACTAAGCCTTTAACACATGGGCCTTTGGGAATACTTATCTAGACCAAAGCTGTATTGTAGTAACTTTAGGTTTGATTTCATTAAAAGTAGCAATGTAATGATTTGCTTTATAAACACTATACTCAACTGGTATTAAATGCTTTATCTGATTATGAGGTTATATAAAGGTGTTTTTTTAGACTTGGGAGGCAGAAGCAGGCAGATCTCTGTGAGTTCAAGGCCAGCTTGATCTACATAGTGAGTTCCAGGTCAGCTGGAGCTACAGGGAGACCCGGTCTCAAAAAAAACAAAAAAAAAAAAGATTCTTAAGCCAGGCATGGTGGCACATGCCTGTAGTCCCAGCACTTGGGAGGCAGATGCAAGTGGATTTCTGTGAATTCAAGGCCAGCCTGGTCTACATAGTGAGTTCCAGGACAGCTGGGGCTACAGGGAGACCCTACTTCAAAAAGACAAAAAAAAAAAAATTCTTTTTTTTACATTTATTTTGTGTGTATCTTTATATTTTGTTTTCATGGGTTCCACAGTGTGTATGTAGATGCAGAAGACAACTTTTGGGAGTCTGTTCTTTCTTTTTTATTTTATGTGTATAAGTGTATTGCCTGTATGTGCTATAAGTGCACTCATATTGTGCAGTGCCCGAGAAGGTCAGAAGAGGGCATCGGATCCCCTGGAACTGGAGAGACACTGTTGTTAGCTGCCATGTGGTGGGTGCTAGGAATTGAACCCAGGTCCTCTGCAAGAGCAACCAGTGCTCCTAACCGCTGAACCATCTCTCCAGCCTGTGAGTCTGTTCTCTTTACCATGTGGGTTCCTGGGGTCAAACTCAAGTTATCAGGCTTTGCAGCAGGTTCCTTATCCAATGAGCCATGTTAACAGACCTTTGTTTGTTTTGTTTTTTGAGACAGATGTTTTGGGTTTTTTTTGAGACAGATCTCATGTAGCCCAGGCTGGCCTCAAACTTGCTATGTAGCTGATGACCTTGAACTTCTGATCCTCCTGCTCCTTTACCTCAGTTCTGGGTTTACAGGTGTGTGTCACCATGACTGGTTTAAATGGTGCTGGAGCTGGATCCCAGGGCTTTATGCATGCTAGCCAGTAATCTTCCTAACAGGTGATTTATATTTGAACTACAGTCTTAACAGGTGATTTATTTCTTTAATATTATCATAAAATGATGTTAATGCTCTTGAATTTCATTTTCCTATATAGAAAATTCACCCAAACAAGAAGCTGGAATTAGTGAAGGTCAGGGAACAGTAGGGGAAGAAGAGGAGAAGAAAAAACAAAAAAGAGGTGAGACCTAAATCTACCTTTTAGTTTATACAGATGTACCTTGGTAGAGGATAAAAGGAATTAAGAGAATTCCAAGGTGAAAAACGTTTACCTGTTACTACAATTCCACATGTGTCTAATACTCAGGGGTACAGAAATCTCTCTGTTCTCAGGATCATGATCAGATGTGATATAATTGGACTTTATTAGCAAACTGGACTAAAGAAAATATGCTTAGCTGAGCATGGTGGCTTAGCTTATATTGTAACCCTAAGAATTTCTGGAAGTTCAAGGCTGGACTAAGTGACATGATGAGGAGTGACATGATGAGACTGTCAAAAATCAAGAGAACAACGTAGACAACCAAAAATATGTGCTTGCTTGCCCTTTGTGTATTTAAAATGCAACCAGCTAGCCAAAAATTCCTATCATATTTAAGTGGAATGAAGACATTTATGTAGCATTTTATCTTTTTATTTCTATGGTAGCTAAACTGAAAATGTTTTATAGCTGTTGATTATTCTCAATGCTTTCCTCTCTTTAAAACCAATTCCTCATGCTCTGAAACCCATCCCTGCCCATCTCTTCCTCATGAATTGTGTCTTAAAACTGAAATTAGTATAGGTGAGGTTGTTTGGATTTGAGGGGGCAGGGGTTGTGGGGGTTTTTTTGAGACAGGGTTTCATGAACTCAGATTGTCAGGCTTAGCTACAAGAGCCTTTAACTACTGAGCCATCTCACTGGCCTGTTTTTTGTTGTTTCTGAGACACAGTCTTATAGCCCGGCTGTCCTTGAATTCAAGATCCTCTGTATTCTGTAATGATGTTAAAAATGAAGCAATTATTTAAACTCTTTCTTTAAAAAGGTGGAAGAGGTCAAATAAAACAGAAAAAGAAGACCGTACCACAAAAGGTTACTATAGCCAAAATCCCCAGAGCAAAGAAGAAATATGTGACCAGAGTGTGTGGTCTTGGCACTTTTGGTGAGTTCAGGTTTGTTTTTTTGTTTTATAGTACTGGAATGAAGTATGCTCAGATGTGTAAACTATTCTGTCATGCTCTTTATCTGTACCATGGATTAAGCCAGCCCTTGTGCATGCTAAGCAAGCACTAAGCTACATACATCCCCAGCTCCTGTGTCTGTTTTTGCCAAGAAAATACTAATTGAAGATCCCCCACCCCCACCCCCCAAGGTCTCACTTTGTAGCACACACTGGCCTAGAACTTGCTATATAGTTCAGGCAGTCTTCCGGCCTTGTCCTCCAGGCGGGCATATGCATGTCAAGCTCCAGGTTTTGGGTGGGTTTATGGGTGGGTG